CACACGCACACACACACACACACACACACACACACACACCCTCCTACCCCAATGTCCAATCTCTTCCCCTCAATCTCTTCTCCCTCATTATCTCCTTATCCCCGGTGCACTACAAACCTCAGGCTATTAGTTTCCCCATCCTACATCCGCTCCTTATTTTCTACAAGCTGCAGAATTTTTTATTTATTTATTTTTGTCAGCCTGTAAATATTGAAATGAGGAGACATTTTTAATGTCTTTCAAAGGACAAAGGCAGATTGAGAGTGCCAACCTCCAACATGGCAGAGATTCTTGGGACAGTGTCATTGTGTAAGAGCGCTGCGGCTTGTAAGAGGGTTTGAAACTTTAACCCAGTGACTTAACCCTGTTGGCTCGAATCTGATCCTACAGTGATTCAGACTCTGAACACGCCGCCAGCTCTGATTTCAGCAATATACAGTACGCTCCCTCGTCCTGGATGTGGACCACTGTGAACCCCTGGCAGAGAGAAATCTACACTTCACAGACACCCACACTCATACATCCGTGTACGCACAAACAGCTGTAGCCGCACCCAGATGCTTTATATCAGTGCTTTTTGGAGGGGCTGTGTTTATACAAGGCTGACAGAACACTTCCTGTGTCCCAAACATTACCACAGAACACATTCGCTGACAGCAAAGCAGTGGAGGGAGAAAAGCGCAATTTCAGCTTTCAGAAATGTGTTGGAAAAGGTTTGTTTTGATTGCTGACATACACTGCTGCTTCCCATTACTCAAAATCAAGAGAGTGGAGTTTATGCAACCCTGTAATCTGTCCTGTTACACACATGCAAAGCTCCACTTATGACTCCACACAGCATGATTGTTTAGAGGGAGGCATACATTTTTCTCTTTCCAAGATGACGGCACCGTATAACAAAATAAAACTCACGCGGCTGCAAATTGTCAAACATCAGTGTTTCTGTACACAAAAACCAAACTGGGCGTCTCTGTTCATGAAGCAAAATCCAAGGTTCACTGCAAAAAAGAAAAAGAAAAAAACAAAACAGTGATTTAATTTTTATTGTTTTCATTTACTAGAGCGAGGCAATAGTGCTTAGACATTCTTTCCATGGGAATAACACATGTGAGAGATTAAAGTGAATGGCAATCCCCTTTTCTTCGTAATTAGGTCAGCATAACATTATTTCCTGTTACAGGAAAATTAAATTATTAGTTTGACTCAAGAGCAGACTGCGAGCACAGAGCAGCCCTCTCTTTCTCTCTCTCCATCTCTCTCTCTCTTTCTCTCAGACAGCAGTATTGTGTGTCTGTCACTAATGGCTCAAGAATGTCACATTAGTCAGGGCCCGCATGCGTGACGCTGCGAACATTAAAACACTTTGAGGAGACTAATATGATATTACACACACCAACACACTCTGAAAAAGAAAGGTGACAGGTCCAGTGATCTCATTGCCTCAAAGCTACGGGGTGATAGACTGCCTCCTACACACTGCAAACCAGAGAAATGTCCCCCTAGCAAGATGTCAAGAGTTAGATTTCAAAACGGCTGAAACATATCAGAAGTGACGGCCTGTTTAGTGATTTTTTTCTCAGTAGAAATTTGTGGAGGCAGAGTTTAGATATCCCAGAGGAGAAAATGGAATATCATCTAACTCTATAGGATTATTTGACATGTTAAGTGTCTTCTCAGAGAGTTTAGTCCCCTGTGACCTGCCTCTCTGACTCACTACCTGCGTAGGTGTGCAGCAGCTAAATGACTCTCACCTCTGGCTTCAGAACAGCCCAGAGAGGTATGGGAAGACAAGTGAAAAATCCCCCTTGATCAAAGCAAAGATCTTCATTCAGTAGGTGTATGTTTGCATGTGTGGCTGCGAGTGTGCACGTGTGTCTAGTCTTTCGGGTGCTGTTTACATTGAGCAAGCTAAGTCATGCAATCTGATCCCAAGCTTTTTGAGAGCCTCCTCAAAACCCCCACCCCTAACACACACACACACACACACACACACAAATGCATCGCCCTCTCAACGCTGAGAGCTATTGGAGGAAACGTGCTGTTACCTCACTAAGACATGCTGGCGTCAGTGTGTGTGGGTCAGGAGGGCAGTGGGGATTGTAGACACATTGCTACCATATGTGCACAGTGGATGTTCACCCTCAGCTGGGCTCATACAGCCCACACTTCCTCCATAAAGTTCCTACAAGGTAACCGGAGTTTCACCATTATGGAGCAGATGGCTGCACAGACTGTGTGTGTGTGGAACCTGTGTCTCGGTCCCGAGGTTCTTTCGGCACAGAGCCTGACCCTCTGGAGTCTATGTTTTGGTCTCAAGCCTAAAGTCTCCTGCTTCCATCTGTGGCCGCTCCTACAGCAGGAAGTGGGTCAGTGGGATTCCCACACTCAGCTAATTTCACACCGACCCCCCCCCCCCACCCCACCCCACCCCAAAGCAGAATTTGTCCACTACGGCCTTCAGGAGGAACTTTTTCTTGCTCAGCATCTTCCTCCACTTTACGCTTTAATTTTCATTCGCCCACCTGCGGACACTGTGAGAACCCCTCCCTCCCTCACTTCCTTAACATGTGTTCACCATGTGTGCCTGTGTGTGTGTGTGCGCGCTGACAGCCCGGCAGGTGTGTGCAGGTGTTCCCCTTATCACTCGGCATCACACAAACCTGTCCCTGCTCCTCCGTACACACACACACACACACACACAGCTCTATCCTCCCATTCAGAAGCTGTCATGTCTGTCCTGATGAACTCATTTAGAGTTGCGAGTTAATACAATGCCTGTTGAAATACTAATTATTATTATTAGAGCACATAATAAGTAGGTCCACAATAGTTTTTTTTTTTTTTTTTTTAAACAAAAGGTTTTATTTACATATGGCAGAAAAATACACAACCTTAAAAAAGGCACAATTCCTATTTGAAGGCATGTTCAGCAAAATAGTTCATAAAACCTGTAGCTCAAAATCTTCCCCCAAAAAAAAAAAAAAACATGTCTAAATAAATGACAATATTGGTGATGGCAAGTTGTGGTTCTTTTGGTCAACCTGATGTGGTCCTTTCATGTCCAATGACACAATGAGTGTGTGTGGGAAGAGTTTGTGACGCGAGGAGAGGCGAGCAGAGGGTCACCTGTCGTCGAGGTCACGGCTAACACGTCTCTCAGCACCCTGCCTCCACGGTACACCATACACAGACAGCTGTCTCAACACACACTCACACTCACACAAACACACTTGCTCATTTCCACACACATGCCATGTATGTATAGTACGGTGAGGAATGACATCCCCGCATACACCACAGACACACACAAACACACCCAAGCAGCTGCAACATGGCCAGAGTCCCGGACCGGCCGGCACCAATGGAGTTTCCTGGGTATTAACTGCATGTCCAGCTGCCCTCAAATCACACACACACACACATACACAAACAGTTGACAGGACACAGCAAAAATGTGCTGCAGATAACAAATATGACCTCAAAAAAAAAAAACAAACAAAAAAAACTGATCAACCTACAGTCTTGAAATATTAAAAAAGGCACTTAAAGAGTCATTTTATAAAAGCACAAGAACTGCAAATTTCCTTTCATGGCTTGTCATGAAATGATTTGGCATCAATTCCCCAAAATGTCCTCTGGGTGTATTGGCTCTAATCAGGGGTGAAGGGGGTGGGGGTCAGAACCAGCAAGCAGCTTCAACTGGCTTATGAGAGCAGTCCTGGGAATGTGAGTCTACGAGGCAGGGCAGCAACCAGAGGCATTGTGTTTGTGCAGGAGGGACATGCGACTGAAGGTCCGCGAGCAGGAGCCGCACTGATACTTCTTCACTTCAGAGTGGGTCTGCAGGTGAGCGCGGAGGTTGGAGCGGTCAGCAAAAGCCCGATTACAGTGCTGACAAGCGAAGGGGCGTTCACCTGGTCGGAAGAAGACAAAAAAAACAAAAAAAAATGTTAGCTTCAGGGAAACACTTCATTAACAGGCCAAAAGGTCTGTCCTCTGGTCATTGTCTTTCAAATGACCACACAGATAAACAACAAAAGAGCAGGAACACTACCCTAACTCACTTAATGCAGATTGCCCTTTTTTCATGCGACAGTGCGGCTTGAGATTAGATCGTGCCATGCAAAGCAATAACATTTGCTCACACCTCAGGAGACGTCAATGAATATCAAATGAGCACACAAAGTGCAACCAGCTGTTACATTTACAAGCCAACAGGGCTTAGGAATCAATACTCTGACATGGCAGGAAAAGTTTTCTCGTGCTTACCTGTGTGTGTGCGAATGTGTCCTCTGAGCAGCCACGGTCTGGAGAAGGCCTTGCCGCAGGTGGGGCACACACAGGGCAAGGTGTGTGAGCGGATGTGCATCTTCAGGGCTCCCAGGCTGGTGTACTCCTTGGGGCAATGTTTGCAGTGGAAGGCCGGGCGCGCAGACACCTCGGTGGGCAGAGAGGGCGTCTGCTGCAGTGGGGCACAGTGGGAGAGCTGGTGGTGGGACAGCGCGGAGAGGCTGGTGTAGCTCTTACTGCAGTGAAGACAGTGGTAGATGTGCTGGATGATATCCGGACTGGGGGGGTCTGAACTGCGTCCGCCGTCCTCCTCTTCCTCGCTGCTGCTGCTGCTGCTACTGCTGCTGCTGGAGGATGAGCTGCTGAGGTCCAGGGGACCCAGGGGTGAAGGGGGCAGGGACACCGGCGTGACCGGGGAGAGGGGCGCAGGCAGGGTGTCCATGCTGCTGAAGAATGGGCTGGTGGGATAGCAGGTCAGGGCAGAGCTGTTGTTCTGCGTTGGAAGTTCAGCCCGAGGAAAGCTCTCTGGGACAAAAGCTGGCAACACAGAGGAGAGGAAGTCAGGTGGCTTTTCACTTTAATGGACAGATAATCTAATAAAGCACTAAACTAGTTTTCATTCTTGGTGTCTTGTTACTACTTTCACCACAGGCTTGCTTTTCCATTAAAACATTGTCCAGTTGACTAGAAACACCTTTCAGTAGGTTCTACACCCAGGAAGCTACATGCAAGATACAAGTCACATGGTTCTGTTGTGTGTCTGAAGGTAACTTAATGAAGAGCTGAACAACAGATGCATCAAATTCAGTCACTGAGGAAAATCTTACCGGTTTGACTCTCCAGCTGGCTCTCCCTGTAGTATGGTTTCTTGTTAGAGAAATACTTCTTCACAAGGAATGAACGAGGCATGTTGAAGTCTGGCGTCTCCGATAATTAAATGTGAAAAAATAAGAATAATTCCCACGGCGGAGTGCGCTCAGGTGCAAAGATCTGTTCCTCAGGCAGCTGCAGATTCCAGAAAACGCCTGGAGAGATCCACAAAACCACTACCAAGCTTGCATGTATCTCACTGAGGGATCGCAAAGTTGCGTCCTCATATAGTAACCAGAGGGGAGAAGCAGCGGGGTGGGTGGGCAGATCTCCGCCCAAAGACACACCCCGTGTGTCAGGGGCGCCACCGGCCCCATTCACCGCAGGTGCCCAGTGTGCCAAAAGCTGCCGCGAAGCGCAAATCTAATTGTGCATTTCACGGTTCTAATGACCCCCACTTTAACCTGCAGGCCATTCACTTACTGCCATTAAATGTGAACAGATGACTGTGCGATTCAGTGTAAAATACAGACAAAAAAAAAACACTTGTAAAATGTGATCATGAATGATTTTCATTGTGAATAACAATCAGAGCAAGCATACAAAACAAATGGAGTCAAATCAAGCAGGGTTTCAGCTTTCTTACAGCCATTCCTTAACTTAATGTGTCATGGCCAACTGAAGCCGGAGCGTCCTCTGTCGGCGCAAACTGTAAATGAACTGTGAGAGGTGGTTCAACATTTCTACACACACCTCTGGAATAATGGTGAAACAGAACAGAAAATAATGGTGAAGAGGTGAAGTCTGTGAAAGCTCATGTCCAAATCGTTATTCGTTGTAAAAGTTCAATAAAAACTAAGATAATTTCCCCAATTATCAGTAAAGCTGCGAGTTGATTGAGACTATAATGAATTTAACTGCTTAAAGAACAACGCTGGAACAGGTTTACTTTTGTTAGATCACGGATTGTCTCACCTTTTACAATCGTCTAAGAACACTGAGGCTCTCTCACCACCTAATGAGTGACACTTTATGACGGCTCTGCTCTTTTGTGTGCCTGTTGTTGCTCGGGGCTTTTACGCACCCCGGTGAGGAGGAGACATTTTCCAGAAGGTAAAAGAGACAAACGCTCTGTTTCTTCTTTGCTCCCGTCAATACAAAACATTCACTTCATCCTATGACCGCATCTCCCCTTTTGCCTCTCTGCGGGGTGCGGTGGGGGGGAGTGGTGAATAAGCCCCGTTCAGATAAAAAAAAAAAAAAAGAGGTGCTGTTCTCCAGCTAGCTCACAGCACGATCTGAGGTGAAATTAACCGAGCTGACAGTAACAATGTGATGATGGAGACCCAGACAGCGCCCTACAGCAGTAGATCTTGTGCCTCGAGGTGGCATGAAATGCAGCCACCCGGGTGATGCCCTGAGAGGAAATGGGTTTTTAACACAATGTTTTACACACTTCTTTTTCTCTTTTCTTTTCTTGTGTAGTTGCACAGTCAAACTTTCCAAATAATGTGGGCAAGGTTATTAACAGAATGTATTAGGAAGCAATAATATGAAATCAAAGGAAAACGAGTGATCATTGTGGACTTTCATCCAATTCATCACATTGTTTTTAACATTTAACATTGTTCTTATTCTTTTACTATTTTATCTTATTTGACTGCACTTACAATATCTATTTTATTGTAAGTGTCACTAATATTCGTTTTTTTTTACCAGTCACTTGCACTGTGCTGCATGTCTGCATGACTTGTGTAAGTATTTTATCAATCAAAAGTAACTCGTGTTAAATGATTTTTTGACATGATGCTATGTTACTATTGTTTGTTTGTTTGTTTGTTTGTTTGTTTTTTAAACTCCTCCTTTAGGTGCACACTACGTGTGAGCCCGAAAATCAGGTGCCATGCAGCCACCAGACAGGAATGTGTCCGCCCCAGTCCTCTCTGGTGCTGTTTAGCATTGCAAAGACAGTCAAAAGCTCCTCGGTGGCAGGGTGAGTGGCTGGTGGGTGATGGGGGCATATACACCTGTCTAAAGGCGCCATTGTCGCGGCATGCCCAAAAGTTCACACGTCGTTAGAGCGCTTGTTGACGCCGACGCCACGTAGACTGGAGGTCACGAGGGCAGGACAGCAGTAAAAAAGAAGAAGAAGAAAAAAAAGCAAATTGCAAAGACACACGTGAAAGTAATCTGGATCTGCTGCTGAGCCCTGACGGTGCAAATGGTGGTGGTTGGTGGTGGTTTACCCAAGAGTTGTGTATGATGTTAGTATGATGAACTGTGTGTGTGTCACAGAAATAATGACAAAATGAAGCATCCATTGGACTTGACACATACAAACACACACACACACACACACACACACACACACACAGTGTAGGAGGCTGTAAGAGTGAAAACAGCTGATTACACACTGTTGAATTGGCTCTTCCAAGGAGAGCAGTTTGTCTTTGGAGGCTGACTGCAGACAATTTGTGTTACGACAGGGTTAGAGTGACCTCATGACACACGGAGAACATGAATGAAGACTTGAAACGTTTTCTGCTCAGAACAGATGTTGAACATGTTTTTTTCCTCTCTGGCCTCGGGGATGAACCTGTGGGTGTTCCCACAGAGGCTCACACTATCTGCTGAAACCTCATCAGACTAAAATTAATGAAGGTTTTACTTTCTAATGCCAAAAAAAAGTGTTGCAACCAAGGTGGAAGTTAGTTGCAAAATTCCCTGCCAAAGGGACTGTGGTCAAATAAGTTACAGTCTTATTTTCTGCGCTCAACGATTAAAACAAAACAGTTAAGAGGAAGAAAAAATAGGCTTGTAATAAGTTTTCAAAATATAGTGTTTCTATGTGTTTCTTTATTATGACAAAAATTGAATGGGCATGTATTTTATGTGCACATGTATAGGATATTATTTTCAACCAGGGGAACACTGTAAAATAAGATAAGAAGTAAATTACAATGAAATCCAAAGTGATAGAATGATAAAATTGTTAAAAAAAATAAAAAAATGTCACAATCCAAAGAAAACTTCGAGCAAACAGAATTACTTAGCAGTCTAAAAAAATAGTTTCAAAGATTTAAATCCCGTTTTTTCTATCTATTTATGACTAATTTCTGCTATTATATTTCCCCCGTCACGTTCTTCCAGCTGACAAGCCTCACAGGAATCTATCATCATTCATCTGCTGAACAAATAATTTCCTATAAAACTAATTTACTGTTTTCATTTCTCCATCAGCAGGATTTTGGTGCAACACATGGATATAATAAGAAACACTGTAAGCTGATGTAACCAGGATGCATAAAGTCATTACATAAATGTAAACTACTTCAGTTTTAATGGAATTGACAATTAAGTTGACATTAATTATCGGAGAAACTTCAATAGGAGAAGGTTTTTTATTATTTGCTGATGTATATTTCATTACCTGATCATATTTAAATAGATAGATTATGTCTGAGCTGATGGATGGTGGTCATATTGTACCTCTAGTGTCCTTTCATGTGTTTGAAAAGAAGCCAACTCCCTAGCTAACACCTATTGTTATTGTACAAATCTTTTTGTTCAAGTGACAAGTACAGAAGTGCAGCTTTATTTCACCCTTTCACATTTTAAAGACCCGTTGCTGATAGCCTTTGAACGATCAAGTGCATTGTTTCCATTCAGTCCATTCAAACAACAGGTAACGGCTACTCCAGCACATTTACATCTGACCTTTATGCAGCTTGTTTTCCAGACTGACTGACCAACAACAACAGCACAGATAAATCAACAGGTCAAGTTTTCTTTGTGCATGTGATGATTCAAAGGATACAGCAGATCTCCCAAGATGCTTCTCGTTGAATCTGAAAGAAAATTGACGAGTCCGTGATTAGCAGCTACTATAAAGGCCTTTTTTTTCTCTGTTGTTTCTTCAAGTAAAGCCAGTTTACCATTCACTTGCATTTGGGGAGGGTCTCAAAAATGTCTACTTTGGTCTGTAGACTCTTAGTGTGTACATTATTCATCAAGTTATAGATTGTCCCATTGGACTATCTATTACTTGTTACCTGTCGTGATCCTCATGTTTTTATCTTCAACTCACCCGCAAAAGAAGCTTGGAAAGATATGAACTCGTCTAATGTGCATAAACTGCTTCATACAAATTCACTGCATGTTTGTTTGTTTATTTGTTTGTTTGTTTATTTGTATGTAGACAAGAGGGAGTGTATGTGTGTGTGTGTGTGTGTGTGTGTGTGTGTGTGTGTGTGTGTGTGTGTGTGTGTGTGTGTGTGTGAGAGTGTTGCCCTATGGTTCAGAGGTCCATAAGCTCAGCAGGAGGAAGATAAGATTATCCCAGAGGAATGCAGAGTATGGATACACACACTCCCACACACATGCTGTGTAGTCTGTACACACTCTGTGGCCAAGTCTCTCCATCAGACACCAGCACTCACATGTTTTAGGGAAGATCAATCAAGGACACTTTGACATGGAGAGAAGCAACCAGCATGTCCTGCAGACTGAAAGATGGTCTCCCTGTTTGGCTCCAACACTAGATTAGATATTTTTTGCAATGTTAATATCCAGCCCAATGTATTACACAACAGTGTTTGCAGAGTAATGAGAGCAAAATCTGACCCAAAACTGCCATATTGGTCCTAATGAGTATATAAATTAATATATGTATAGTATATGTACATTTAAACTGTAAACTGTTTACATATCATTTCGACTGGTGAAATTAGTTGTAGAAGGGAGCGTTGTCCCACCTGTGAGATGCTTTGGCCTTGGTAGCACTACTTTTGGTGTGTATTGGTACATATACATACACACCTATTGGTTCATACTTGTGGCTATGGTTCCAAAGTGTTTTCCACACCAGAGACACAACTGCTGGCTTTATATTCAGTTTTTTAGGCATAAAAAAATAGGTAAGGCATAAAAAATACTAATTTAAATTTCGACCATGTTTGTGTCTCTCAACCTCTGATGGTCTGGTTATAAAATTGAAGAGTTAGCTTACATTTTAAAGCACTCCAGGATTACTGGTTATTATACAACAGTTAGTTCCCGACCAAGTAATTTGATTGGACGAGAGGTATTCCATGAGCGCTGCTATAGAGAATAACAAAACTGGGACTTTTAACTACATGTATCACTCCGCCTCACAGGTGTTCGATTAACCATTAATCAGTGTTACATTAACGGTCGGTATCAATCTTAGATTGTTACAAACTTTGCAAAGATGAATATATTTCCAGAAATAAAATTTGAATTAAACTATGTATGGTCGTCAGAAGAGGATGCCGGGAAGAACCCTTGATACTTCAGCACACTCCTGAGGTAACGTTCAGACAAAGTAGCAAGCTAGTGTGCACTGTGCAGGTGAGGAAAATGTTAACGTGTTGCTTAGCAACACTACAGTAATAGTCCAGTTTTTCACTATTTGTATTGGCGTTGTAAAAACAAATGATAAAATAAACAAACAAATCATAATCTGTTATTGTTTATTTAAGTAATATGGCGGTCGTCAGTACTCAGCCTGCGGCCTCGTAACTATGAGCGAATCACAGCCCTGCTGATATTCAGTACATCACTCCCTCTCGTGCGATATTGCTCAATCATTCTGGAAAAAAATAAGAAAAAAATAAACCTCTTGACTTTCTCTGCTGTGTACCACCTCTGCACAGAAGCTGCTGAGCTGTCAAAGCTCTCACTATACTGATATCTATCCCAGTAAGTCCATAACTGCTGTGTTGGTGGAGAACACTGTGGAGTTTACTCTGTGTCACTTCTGCATCTGGATCCAACAGAAGCATAGACCCAGTCAATAATCTTAACAAGGGAGGGGGTGAAAACCAAAGAAAGATTCAAGGCACACTGTGTTGACCATACACAGATTTTCTATAGGCTTCCTGCTGACACTGAGAAAGATTGGTGCACTATCAGTGTGGTCTTGTTTTAATCATGCAACCATGAAAATTAAAGCTTGCTTTTACAATGAAGCAGCTTCCCTTAATTTATCCTATCTAATTATATATCTCTAAAATGGAATCATTTCCTATTTTTGATTGAGGTGTGGGTGTAAGATGATTTTCAGGTCACATACAGTGTAGAAATTTCAGATACAGTGTGTTTCTGTTTTGCAGAAGAAACGATTATAGAGTACCTCTGTATCATCCTTAACTCCCAACCACACTCAACCTTGTATAGATGGAATTTAACCAGATGTGTGTGTTTGTGTGTCTCTGCTCTAACCTTATCTGGACAACAGACAGACACAGCAGTCAAACCACAGGCACCCTTTGATGTAGTATGTGGTACCATAAATGTCATCTGACTGTCAGTTGTTTACTTTCTGTGGAAAATTAATGTTCTTGGAGGAAGAGAAAAGTCAGAAACTTCCCACACTTTAACAAAATCATTGCTGACCTTACAAAAAGAAAAGGTTGTAATGAGTTGCTTTTAGAACCTTGATATATTTCAGAATGTCACAATTTTCATAATGTATTTCATTTAACATATTTTTTATCTTATTTATGTGTTTATGTTACATTTCTCTGTAAAGAACTTTGAATTGCCTTGTTGTATTTATGACTTTATTTGGTATTTTTTATTTTATTTTATTTCCTCTGTTCTTTTTCCTCTATCATGTTTTGTCTTTAGTCTTTTTTCCTCTGTGTGTGCTGTTAAACATTTTGTTGTGTGTAAAGTTATATGTCAAGGAAGTAATACTGATAGCTGTTATTTATAACCACCATCTTTTATTTGGAGCAGCTATGAAAAATTAAGTAAGGGATGTTAGTATTGGTATGATGTTCCCAATGAAGTGCTCAGTAAGTAGAGTTAAAAAAGGCTCAGAAATTTCCTAAAGCAGCTGGGCACTGTGGTTTCTGACAAATTTTACTCAAACAGGAGTAAACCGTGCATTTTTGGGTAAACAACCTTAAATTGGGGTTCGGGTTAAGTTGGGTTTGTCTTTTAAATTCTGTATCTTTTCAAGCTAGCCGGAGAAGAATCTTAATTTTGTTAAATCAAACAGCATTTTCTTGAATCACGTCTAAAACAGTCGTCAATCTGTAACTTCAGGATTCCTGATTAATTTGTTATTCTCACTCCTCTGTCATCAGGATCATTCTGGGTCAAGAAAAGAACATACTGTGAAGTGGCGCCATCCACTGTTCACATGGTGAACTGATCCACTGAACGACTACTCTCAAATGAACCACAAGGAGGCGATCAAAGACCAATAATACCAACTGTACCGGTCAGCGGTTTAATCAGAGGTCAGATACATTATTGTCTTGATTCCACAAACGCACAGCATGTTGGTTCAGGTGCAACAATCACATTCATTTAGAGGATGTAAGTGTCTCTGCACCTACACAGTTGTCACAAATAACAATGAAATATGTAACTGAGTCGTATCAACCCTCAACTCTGTTGTGTAATACAACACAAACAGGTGTTCACATACAGAGACATCATGAGCAAAATTATAGACAGTCTTGTATGCTTGTGTGTGTGCGTGCGTGCCCAGCCCTGAAGCTGGAAAAGGTCAACAATGTTTGTTGTCATCCAGCACGAGGTGACGGGTGCATATGGCTCTGTTGTGTCTGATGACTCAGCATCAAAACCTTCAGGTTGGACAGTACAGTGTGTTCACAGTTACAGTAACGTGGATAGTGAATAATCTTAACTGCCACAACAACAGGTCAAGTGAGACCTGTTATCTCTTTATTTGAAATTTAGCAGCTTTAATATGTATAGAACAGCATTTACTTCTGATATTTAAACTTTGGGACCTTTCACTTCTGACATCTGGAGGCATGAATGTGACTTTCTGAATATGCTTGTTTCATGACTCCCTTTTGTTTAAAAAACTGCTGAATTTTATGTTCCTTTTAAAGAAAAGTGGGGAACACTTTTGCACAGCTATATATTGCATGCATTCTGCATCGTGACCTGCAGCTAAAGTACAGTAGGCTATTGGGGCTTCAGATAGCACTGAGTGAAGCTTCTCCTCCTTTTCCACCGTCAGGAATGTTAGCTTGACATCAGGGGAATGGATATGTGTCATTTATGTAAAGGTAGCTCTTTTAGGTCATAATGTGCAGACATATAGAATGTGGGTTAAGCAGTTACGGGCACCTGAATAGTAAGTACACATGAAGGTCTGACCCTAAGAGTGGTCTTGTTTCACGGCAGATAGTGTGTCCTGCTGGACAACCGGGCCTGGACTAACCTGCTAAAAGTAGATGACATTAATATATGTCAGCCTCATTTTTTTCCAGGTTAAGGTCTGTCTGTGTGTGTGTGTGTGTGTGTGTGTGTGTGTGTGTGTGTGTGTGTGTGTCGTGTATATATATATATATATGAATAATATATAATATATATATATATAAAAAGCTAATATAGAGAATATATTGTGAATAACATTTTCTAATGACTGATGTTGATCAAATAAGGTTAGGGGCAGAGTAATTTATTCTGAGTTTTAGATTTTGTTTGTTTGTTAGGGTATTTGTTTGTTTGTTGGTAGATTGGTTGGTTGGGGTTTTTTTGTTGTTGTTTTTTACACTAGGCCTTTCATGATATTCCTTTGACATAATTTTTTATAGCGTTTTTCATAATTGCGCATTGAATAAATAAACAAATAAATAAATAAACTAAAAGGCCACATCCAACAAAGCTAATTTGATTTGGTAATTTTCTAATAAACTAAGTAAAAACAAACATAGCTGAAGATCATTAGGTCTAGAAAATTAGCATGTAGCACAGGTATTTTTTTATGATTTACGTCCAGAGTAACTCTCTTTTTTGACGCACCACCAGTCGCCAAATGATAAAAGAAAAAAGAAAAGCCGCACAAAAAGTGTGGAGATGCCGGGGATTGAACCCGGGGCCTCATACATGCAAAGCATGCGCTCTACCACTGAGCTACATCCCCTTGTGGTGTGTTGGATCTCTGCAGTTTATATGAACGTGACTACGCACGGTAGTGTCATGGGATTTCTTTCCTGTAGGGGGAGACGACTGTTGAGCGGGATATTTATGTTCTGACTGGGGTCAAGTTATATAACTTCGGGTCACAGCTTCTGCCTGGTTTCAACCCTTGACCCTGCTCCGTGTACCACATCTTTTTTCAGTGTGTGTATGTGAGTGAAGGAGTGACCTTTTTTGAATGGGTTAAAAAAGTCCCAAAGTGCTGAAGCTCCAGAGACTCTGAGCTGTTTTTAGTGCTTGTTTGTAAACAGAGGATCTGTATTGACGTCAGGATGGATGAATGGAAAAAAAAGTGTTGCACCGTTTTCTTTAATTGAATCCTTGTCCTGTGCTATTTTTAGACTGCAGGTCATGTTTTGGTTTTAATAAGGGAATACATCTGAGCAAAGGGCTCTCTTCCCACGCTAACTGTAAAGAAATTACATGTGATGGGGAAGAAGAGAAATTTCATCTAAACAAACACCTGTTACACAGTGTTTCTGAGACAAACTCAGTCAGACACAAGTGGCTGAAATCCAGTGCTTTCTTATCATCAGAGGTACCCTAATCCTTTGGGGAATTTAAAATAGCTCCCTCGTTAAGTTTCATAATATCCTCCAGGGGAGCGTGAATGAGGGGCTGTCGCCCCCCACCCCACCCCCCCTCTGGAGAGCACAGCCTGTCCTCACTCATGCTGTGTTTATCAGCACATGCTTGCCAAGGACACCACTTCCAGACCCTGTTTGCTTTAGCCTTGTAGGGACAGACCCATGGGATGCACGCATGGCATGAGGGCTTCAGGAGAGCTGTAGAGGAGAGAAGGAAGGAAAGAAGGAAAGGGGAGAAAGGTTGAGAGACTATACAACACCTCCCCATCCTCTCCTCCCCTGCTGCATCAAATGCACGGGCCTGCAGAGGTGTCCCTCAGGAGGAGGGAGGGACACCAGTTGATATCAGTGCTGTTTTTACTGTGTGAATTTGGACTGGTGACAGGGAGCCACCATGTTGAGTCTGTGCTGAGTAAGGAATAGTAGACAAGTGTTGCATGTGTGGTAGGTTATCTGAGGACTGTAGAGTGCTGTGGAGGGCAGCATGTACAGACCAGACCAACTGTATGCAATATGAGATGCAAAAAGAAATTCTTTATCCAAGGCCTTAGACCTCCGGACATTACAGTGGACAGTACCAAAAGGGACTGGCAATGGGAGAAATAAGTTAACAAATTAAAGAAAATGGCACTTTTTATGAACTTTACGTGAATCCTTGTTTCATATTAAACCTAGGTTTGGACTTTTTTTGCTTTTTTTGCTCCTGTGGTATAAATACAGTGCACACAGATGTCTCTCACCAGTAGTTGAAAAAGTATTCAGACCCTTTACTCAAGTAAAATTACTAATACCACAATATTCATACTCAATTTCAGATTAAAAGAATTTCATTCAAAAAAATATTTATGTTAAAGACCAGAAATATTATCAGTACGTAGGCAGAAAAATTGTTTTGATGGGAGATTAATTTGCTCTTGTTTGAGTAATTGATTGATTGACTACTTGTTTCGGCGCTATTTATGAACTTGTATGTTTTGTATGTAAAATTTCTAATGTAATTAGTAACTAACTGAAGTAAGAAAAGTCAAATATTTTCCCTTTAAATGTTGTGGAAATATAACATCAAAGAGATACTCAAGCAAAGTACAAATAGTACATCGTAATGAGTAATTGTAATTTGTCACTTTCCACCACTGTCTCTCTCTCTCTCTCACACACACACACACACACACACACACACACACACACACACACACACACACACACTGCATATAAACACATTTGGACCAAATATCAAAGGGTTGGAGCATTAAAGGATCATATTTGGCAACACCAGCTGGAATCAACTATTGAACTTTCTACAGATGTTTTTCCGTATTCCCCTGTGAGAGATTTACATAAATCTTGATATTTTGCATGTTCTCCATTGCCACTGTCTTTTACATAAGATATCAAAGTGTGAATTTTGTAGATTTTGATGTAGATGCAGATAGAGATCCCTTAACCTGTTTAAATGGAATAATTTGACATTTTGGGAAATAATCTTTTAAGTTATTTTTTTATGTTACAAAAATGCCAAATTTTTCATTTCAGTGTCTTGATGTGGTAACTTGCTGCTTTTCCTTTAAATAATTACATTAATCTTGAAGTTTAGACTACTGGTTGGACAAAACAAGCCCTGTGGAGGTTTCACTTTGAGCTCTGGGTAATTGTGATGGCTTTTCTCACTATTCTCTGAGTTTTTACAAACCAAATAAGCAACTGATTTATCAACAAAATAGTCAGGAGATTAATATATAATGAAAATACTCACTATTTTCAGTAAATTCTGCTTACACATTAATGCATGAGTAATAATAATCAAATCATAATGAATAAAGGTTACATGGGCCACTTCCTTTTCTTATTTTCATAGTTTATGCACAGATTTGAGACTGATATCATTATTCTCAACTGGCTTTGCAAAAAAGCAAGTAAGTGTATTTCCCAAAATATAAAATTATTCCTTTAAATGATTATCCTACTTCTCCTGATGTGCAGAGATCTGCAACTTGGACAGTCCCACTGTGTCGTATGCAGGTCATTTACACTGCTGCTGGCAGCACTGTAGTGGTAACACAGGGAGCAAAGTCTGGCCCAGTATCTTCTGGGGCTGCCGCCTTATCATCTGCCAGCAGCCAGCCGTGCAGTGGCAGAGAGGCCTGAGAGGAGAGAGGCACCAAAAGTGAAAGCTACATAGGAAGGTGGAGTCAAACGACCCAAAAAAAGATGGTCTTTTGGTTCAAAATCAATAAAAAAAATAAGTGACGCACATTTGACACTGTTTTGAAGTTCATGGGCTTTAAATGTGATTTGTTGTATTTCATCAACTAAATTATGCTAGTTGGCTGACATGACATGAATCCCAAAGGAGGGAGATGAGTTGACATACCTTTACTATGTTTTTCCTTTCCGTGTTTTCAGTTTTTCTCTAGATGCAGTTCTTCTTGTCTGATGATGAAATACAGAAACTCAAGTAAACAATGAGTATTAATGTTGTCGCCTACACACACCATGTCCCATCAGGACCTGTTTTGTCTCCCCTCAAGGACGGGCTGAGCTCTCAAATGGCCTCTCACGAACAGGCGTCAACACACACCACAACATGCTGGACTTCTGAGTCAACCTGGCCATCGCCACACCTTGGTCTTTTAACCACAACAAACAAACAAACAAAATAGCAGTGTTCACAACGCAAGGCTTGATTGGTTGAAAGCCCTCTGCATTTTACGCACATGCCGGAGTTAGCAGTGTCAGCCGGGGCAAGGACAGGCATGCTGTTAAACAAGAGCTTCATGTCACATTCATGAACGTGGACACACACAGGGAGAGGGAGAGGGAGAAACTGCTGTGACCTCTCACCTATTTCTCCAACCGGCTTTGGAAACTACAGGAATCCTGTGAAGCCAGGCAACTTCAGTGAAAGATCTGGCATGGTAAGAAGAAAATGAAGAAGCAGACAATGGAAAAACTATAACTTCTTTCTAGTCCTTGAGCAGTGGCATTCAAGCCCCAATTATTTGTGAATGATGTGGTCGGGATCACATCCATTAAAAGATGTCTTGACTTGTATTTATTGTACATGATTGGTTGCTGACATGGAAATACATGCTACAAAGACACGATCTAACAAGTTCTGTCAGGCCTGTGACTTCTTCTGATTAGTTTCAGAGCACAAACATTAACACAAGCGCAGATGCACAAACTGTTCTTGCTAAATGTTTGTGTTCACCATGTTACCAGGGTTTGGATATCATCATCACTGCAGGGTGAATGTGTGTGCTTATGTGTGTCCTGTCTGCTATGGTCGTGCTGGTGTGTCGTGCTGTGTGTGTTGTGTGTTCGCTCGTGTGTGTGCTTGTGTGGTGCCGTCGCGTCTGTGTCAGTTGCGTGTGTGTGCTGTGTGCGTGTTGTTTCGACTGTGTGTGTCACACGCGCTGATTTGTGTTGTGTGTGTGTGTGCTCGTCGTTGTTGTGTCTGCGGTCGAGCTAGTCCCTAGCACCTGGTAACTGTATAGGCCGAAACCTTATCATCCTGCCTTTAGAAAGCTCATACTGTGCTGGACTCTTGCTGTCGTCTCGTCTCTCGTCAGTGTGGTAATAACAGGACAAAGTCTAGCAGGAAAGAGTAGATTAAAAAGAAATGTGTATGAGACACAACCCTGTTAGGAGTGGTTCATTTGTTTTCGTCTGACATGCCAAGACATCCAGACCCACAGCAGGGCCTGGTTACTCACTTGCACATTCACGTGTTATAAAACATATGATGACATAAACTGATTGCGATGAACAAAACATTTCAGGTTCACAGTCAAATGCCTCAGTATGCTGCACACAAAGAGTCTCTGTTAATCCCAATGAGGAACTGTACTTTAATGAAAGTTCCAGGTAGTAAAAAGCAGACATTAGACCTTACTGTAGACACTCTGTTATCGCTATAAATAAAATCTACAAATAAATTGTTCCTTCTGTCAGAAGGTACAAAGAGCATGTCAGAAAAAAACGTAGAAAATATCTTATATGACGAGGTAAATATATAATCAAGTTTTTGAAGATTGAATTTAGTTCTTATTTAGGAGATGCATTATGATCTCAAACCTGGTGTGACTACCATCACATGTTAAATAATGTAAGCTTTATTGAAAGCATTTTTCCTGTAACAATTATAAACAAACACACATACAGATTTCTTTCATTTAATAGGCTAAACTACAGGATAACGGTTGTAAAAAATAAATATGAGTGATATCATCATGATGGCTGAGTTTCAATTGACAGGGAGGACATACTGTAGGAATCCTAAACCCACAGGGTCATGTGCACGGACTGTCTGGGTGATCTGTCCACTTTTTTGCAGACTGGTGCAGATCAATGATCTTGAAAACCAGTCAGTCTAGCCAGATTTTTGATGATAATTAGACTATTAATAGTGCAGTATGTTCCTTCTTTACTAAAGGAATTCTCTGTTCTACAAAAAGGAATGTTGGCACGTGGGTACATACACATATGCATGTGTGGACATTTTATTTTTTCCAATCATTTGTAAACTCTTCTGATCTTCCTATCTATTTGTGATTGTTATTTGCCTTCTTTGTATTCTGTTAAATGGATTTTTGTTTGTTTGTTTGTTTGTTTGTTTGTTTGTGGGAAGTTATGAGCATGTGTCTTGATCTATCCTGTCATATCTGTTTTATTCTGCTTTTCAGTTTTATGTTGCTGTATTATAAGTTGCAAATAAGATAAGATAAACACAAGCAGGCTGTGAGAATAGGCTACACCACTCTTGAGGATTATGTGTAATATTCTGTAGACTTCAGAGAAACACAACACAGGATGATCTTTCACCTAGAGAAACACACACACACTCAAAGCACAATCTGCAATAATAAAAGGCAGTGGGTATTCTTAAAGCTCTATTGACTGCACAGTGCAAAAGTGACCAGCAGGGTTTTTTTTTTAAAACTCTCCACAGCTCATTGGTTACTCAAATGCTGCATTCAGAGAAAGCCAATCTGATTGGCTTGTACAGTTTGAGTGGCACTGTGGAGTGAAAAGAGGGATGTTGAGGGGGAGGGTAAAGAGGTCTATTTACAAATGAAATTTAAAGTAACATCTCCAGCATCACTGAACAAGGAAACCTCTTCTACTTTGTGAACTGATACTATTTAAACATTTGAATATTTAAGGTCGGCATCAGTAGTTGTTCCAGTAAATTATACATTTTATGACCTTATCACCAGAGGAGAATATGCAAAAGATGTTAGGTTGTCTCTGACATGTTTGGCAATATTCAGCACCGGTTTGAAAATATAAACAGATAAAAAATAAATGAAAATAAAAAATAAAATAAAAATTATGCAGTTTTAGCTTTTCAAATAAAAATCCACAGAGAAACATTTATACAACGGAAACATAAACATGCTCTGTCTGTGGTCCAAAGTCTGTCAGTAGGTGATGTAACAGGTCAGTTGCAAAAGTTTCATCTCTGTGCTCTTCTGTCTGTATCGGAATTTATTTCACTTAGCACGAAGTTGACAATTTAATAATTTTGTTGTCAACAGATCTTCATCTTTTCTTGCTGTAGAAGGCCTGTATTTGGAGCTATGTGAGCACAGACCTGGGATCAGTTTACCATCCCCCAGCTCTGACTTTACATAGCAGGGATGGTGAGAGTCGAAGCTGATCACGGATCAGTCTCAAGTCACAATTTCCATCTGGGTGCAGGTTGACAGCGCCTCTCGCCCTGCCCCCACCCTGTTACCTAGAAGCCCAGCTTGTGGCTTGTGTAAAATTCTGATTGGCCGGTTTGTTTGGTGTGGGCAGGACAGGGGGCAGGGCCGGGAGTATTGTGATCTCACAATCAGCTGTTTTGTACGTTCTACATTCTGATCCGAGGATCAGCTGGAGGCAGCAATAAACAGAAGCAAAATCTGCAGCGGAAAAAAATAGAGGAGAAGAGGAGTTGAAAAAAGCTGCAGATGTTATGATCTAAAAACTTCAGTGTAAAAGTTTTACATGAAGCCCTTCTTCTAAGAAGAAAGCCTTTTATTTTTGTATAATGGTGTTTTAACTACCTCACTTAAAGGCTATCTAAAGCTATGCTTTAAGAATTGTTGTCGTTTCTACTGTGTGTGAGATCTCGTTTACAACTTGAATAATATTGCAAAGGCAGGTAAGATATTCTCTTTTTTTGCTTTACATTTGAATAATTACTGTATTTTGTGTCAAACTGTGTGCTCATAGAGGTATCAAACTACATGTCTTTGCCTGTGAAGCTGCTGCATTCCTCACAAGCTTATCTACAGAAAATATCCATCAGATATCAGCCATCATGAAACCATAGAACATATATTAAGACGGAATTGCATCGCTTTGTCTGTCACTGACTCATTACATGGGTTGAATTGGAGATGACCTATTATTAGGTCGTGAATAGATTTGAAAACAAACGGTTTAATTAGGTCGATTCGACGTCCTATATTTCGAAAAAATGACACCAGCCTGCATACGTGTATATCCTACAGGACGCCAGCAGCCCTTGTTTTGTAAATTGCACCAAATGCTGATGTGGAGTCAGGTCGATGGCGGATGTTGATGTTTTTTTCTGGGAGGCGGACACATACATAAGCTATATAGTCACTTATGTTTTTCAGTAAAATTACAGTTTCATTGTATTGTCGTGAGCCTCTCCAGTCGATGTCTTTTCGTGCAGAGTCGCTGAGCCACAACTGTCATTGCTTTGACCCTTCAGCTGGAGAGCTTACACGGATAATTCATGTTTAACCTGGATACCCTACACAGAAAGTCTTGTCATCTCTCGGCTGTCGACAGTGTGAGGTCGAGGTCGATGTATTATTTTGCTACATAAATCCAGGGTATCTCTGTATATTGGAAATGTAAACATTGTCGCTGTGAGCAGCCTTTTTTTTTTGATAATGTCAGGATTCAATCCCAGACCGTCGACATTAGCAACCATTCACATCTCGATTGTTTTCTGCTTCGTGTTGCAAAATGCAAATTAGACACAACAACTCACAAATGTTGCATAAACATTGTCATAAGATCTTATATTTTCGCTATGTTTGCTAGTCGGACTTTTTTTTCTCCGGTCGCCAAATAAACTGGAGCCTCTCTTTCAGCGTCAGTGACGTAAGCGTGACGCCTCATGCGTCTTGTTTTTATTTCGCGAGACCCCGCCCACTCCGCTCCGCTCCTCCCACCTTTTTTTAAAAGGACCAATGTCAAAATACATACTCATATGTCATAGATCCTTTCTATAACGGTATCAGGATGTGCATTCATGCCTGTAGAATCTAGTTTAAAGAGTGGATGAAAACATTGAAAATGAATAAATAAATGAAAGAAATAAGCATATGCACACATAAGTAGGCCAACAGGGCAATCTCTCTCTCTCTCGCTCTCTCCCTCTTTCAGGGACTTGGGGTAATCCTGTGCTCACTGCTCAATGGGAAAAATGAACCAGAGTTAGCCTAGAGGGCTAATTTGCACCTGTCATCTGTCATTCGGGCGAGATGTTAAAAAGCATCATAAGAATGTAAATGAATATGAAAAATATGCACAAGATACTGTAGTTCCAGACTCACAAATCAATAATTAACACAATAAACATAAATAAGGACAAATGAGGGACAAAACATAGGTCTACAAGGAAAGAACAACAGAAAGACAAGACAAGACAACCAGACTTCCTGATATTATCACACTGACATTGTCTTGACTTTGCAATTGAATGCTCCACATTTATCCCTCTGCTTTCTGCCAATTAATAGGTTTTACTTCAGAGGGAACTTATCAGTGTTAATGTGTGGTAGTTGTTAGATAATGCTTCTACACAACCTGTGCCATATATTCATGAACCTTCTTCTCCAGGATATAAGGCATATCAGTGGATGTTATTTGTACTCTGTTGGCACTATCAGTGGCTATATTTACACCGGTCAGATAGCCCAGATTTAGCTTGTACAGCCACCAAACTGATAGAAAAAGAAGCTCTCTGAAAAAGTGTTGCATGTAATCCATGTTGAGTTTGTGTGTTTTTTCTATGTCTGCTGCACCTTATGCAAAATAGCCCTCAGGATTCTCACAAAATTTTTTGTTTATCTGGACTTATTTGTCATGGTCTCATGACTTAAGTTTCTGTTAGTTCGGGAATGCATTAAAAACAGTTTCAGTGTTGAGGATTGGCTGCGGCACCTCAGTTCATAGTATCTTCTTAGATTTTCTATGTAAAATTCCAAAAATATAACAACCATGGGCCTTTTTATTTAACCGACTGGGTGTCATTTTGAAAACATGATCTGAAAATGAAGTCAAAACAGACTTATACAACTCAGGGTATTTGTCTCTCAATTTCTCTGGTTATTTCGAGCATACGCCCATGCAAACAGACTCTCTCGCAGTGACAATATTTGTTAAAATGACTGTTATTCCATCTGACACAAGAAATCTCAGGGGCATGTACTTTATGGTTGCAATTAGGTTGTCTCTTCCCTTTATGTTCCTGGTTGTCATGATGATTCTCCAAATAAGGACAGAAAGTGTCAGCTTCCCAACAAGCATCCATGCATGTCTCCTTCCATGACTCTTTGTTCCATGTATAAATCTCTGTCAGACACACACTTTGTTTCACCTTTTATATAGCTCATAGCTGGCGAAATAATTGAAATTTATTTGTATTTTTTGGGGACAGATCAGGCTGCAGGGTCAAAACAGATCATGGAATGAAATAGGTTGTGATCTGGAGCGTAAACCTCCACAACATTGAAACTACTACAGCCTACAAGTAAACTAATATATAAATAAAACATATATGAACAAATTTAACCTTATATTCAAGAGATATCTTCAAGTGTGTCAGCAGTTATTGGCAGAGGTTTACACTCTGTGATCTCTTCAGTCATTCCTTCTTTTGCACTCACACAGTCTAAGTAAATAAAACTCAGCCTTTGAACATGTAGGGGTTTGTCTTGTAAGCTATGACTGTTCAAACATCTGTTCAACATTACATCATCATATTCACATTTAGGTCAGGCACTTGTCATTTCTGTCAGTGCCTTTCCCTCTGTCCCCATGTTGCTGTCTTTCCTTTGCATTTTAACACTGTGCACACACAATTCGTTTGACTTTGTGAGAGTCTGGCTCTTTGTCTCACCTCCTTCCACCTCCTCCTCTTCTTCCTCTCCAGCCTGTCCATCTGTCCTGAGACTTTGCTGATTGGTTATCTAAATTTCATGGGGGAAGGGAGTGCACCCATTGTCCACCAGCTCCTTACTTGCTGATAAATTTCTTTCTCCATTAAACACATTCCTCCGCCAATGTATTTCACAATTTAGGTAATTTGCTTTCAGGCGGAACTTTAAATGGTGATGTCATTTTATATACTGACTATACATCGGCACTGCCGTGTTGAAATCGCAAGATGCAAATTGTAGGAATTTTCATTACTTTTCAGTTGAGGAATCAGTGCATCCTCTTTTATGGGTTGAAAAACTATCTTGCCTGTTGTGCATGTTCCATTAAAAGCCAACTGAATAAACCCAAAATGTATAATCAAGCTTTAAAGCTGCTAGAATCAACAATTTCTCTCTAACAAAGGATCAAATGACTCACTAGTTGTGACAAACCCATGGATAATGGAACCAGACAGTGGACATAAAATGTTAGCCACTAGCTGGTGAACAAGTTGAAGAATTGAGCAGCTAGGGATTCAAATATTTTCCTCAGGAGTTGGTGGAGACCAAAACAGAGTTAAAAGGAGAGTACTGGACTTGCATTCGTCAGATGCCTAGAAACATCACTTCAAATGAATGATAATGTTGTCTGCTGGATGTGTAAATTAGTGTACTAACACATTTGCTATATCAGCTTTATAAGGTGATAATATTTCAGTGTTGTGTTTTTATCGCTTGTTGCACTGCCCTCAAGTGAACAAAACATCAACCAATCAGGTTTTAAAAAATACAGTTTCCCATTTGTTCTGCAAAGATTTTAATTTTGGGATACAAAGGGTTAGTAGTGACAATATGTAAATTGGAAAGAGCTGTTAAATTATTTTGAATAAAACTGGAAAATGTGTTTCTTCGTCCAAGCTGCTTCATCCAGCTAATACAATATGCAAACTTTATCCAACAATGTTGGTGTGGAAACCTAAAAACAAACAGCTTCTGTTATCAATGACACATCCTTGGTGTCAACCTGTCATTTCAACTCATAAAAATGCTTTGAGGCTTCAAGGCTTGTTTCCAAAAAAAGTTCCAACTTGTAAATTGTCTTGAAATAACCTCGACTTGAGGAAGCTCTTACCACACACATTGCTCACTCATGCTGCCTATCTAATGTATTCTGACTAAGCACCAGGAAGTTAACCCAATAACTGTCTTTTCTTTTTTTTTTTAGATGAAGAAAAACATGTTGACAGTGATGCATCTTATCTTCTTATTACCACTAACCACCCTCTCCCCTCTCTCTCTCCCTCTCTCTCCCCCTCTCTCTCTCCAGGCCTTTGCTCCAAACCAAGTGAAACCTTACATTTGCACTATAGAAGCCTGTCCACTCCTGAACCGAGATCCAGCAAAGGGCTTCAAGTGGAAAAAAAAAAAAAAAAAGAAACAAAAGATCAGACAAAGAATTATATAAAACAGCAACAAGCGATACATAAACACAAATAAGAAATTCAAAAAGGCAGCTACAGCTTTTTCTTTGTGGACAACAAACAGAACCCAAGTCATCAACACCTGACAGTACAAGCAGAGTAGTCATGTTTCAACGCCTGAGCAACCTGTTGTTTGGGGAGGTAGAAGAGGTGGCTGCCGAGCTGAAGGGACCCAAACCCTGCGTGACGGAGGCCGACGAGGAGGGATGGATGCTCGTCAATCTGCCTGGTGAGTCTCAACAGAGGGAGCGCAGGGTTGGATTGGAGGGGCTGGTGGGCTACACCAAACTGTGAAATAGTCAAATGATGTTTTATGTTCAAAGCATGAGGTAGCTGGGAAATACATTTGCTCTCTTTTGCATGTCTATAATGCTGGCTAACATTAAAAGTGTAGAAATAATGATGGGGTGGGGTGAAGAGTCAGTCAGGGCGTGGTGGTGCAACTACAGCGGTGCTCACCCATGTGGCTGCCATAACAAAAGGTGTTGTCCGCCAGAAGATGGAAACACATGATTCTCTGGGAAGATACACCTCCTTCCTCTTTGTTTATGATCTCAATCATGACAAAGGCAGTTACTGAGTATGAAAATTTGCTTTGACTGTTCAGAAGCCAACCAAACACAAAAAGCAACATAACAGTGCCTCACAGCAGAGTCAAGTCGAGCATTATGTCGCTGACATAATCACAACCTTAGAGGGTCAACACAACTAATGATGTGACTCTTTTATGTTTTGTGTTTCCTTACCCCCTCTTCTTCCTCCCCTCCAATTATTTTAAACACCCTTACATTCTCCACACTGGTATGTGTGCGCGTGCGTATGTGATCCCTTTAAAATTGCCCCCCTCAACCCGCATGGCTTTTTTGAAAATCTACCACATTTGCATCATTTTTGCAACCCCCCCACCCACCCCTTCCACCTGTCTTTATTGGCCGTCCCATCCCTGACTTCATCGCTGCCATGTGCTCAGAGGAGTCTGACGGCTTGATGCAGGCAGAGGATGAGAAGGCAGCCCCACTGATTGCACAGTCATTCCCTGACAGTAACTTATCACATCATCAGGACACACATACAAGGACTGAATGCCCGGCCCCCATTCCCCACCCGCTTCACAAGCGCCGTAGGACACATAAAGGTCAAGCACGAGTTGCAGTAGCATCATCAGACCCCTTGTCTTGCCCCAGCATTAACCCATCAGACTTGGGTGCCACTACACCCGTGACCCTGCCAAGGCGGGCCAGACTGTCCACGCCCTCCTCCACCCCGTCGATGTCCCCTGGCTCTGGGAGTGAGTGTGGGGGCAGTGGGGGTAACAGTAGGGCAGGCTCAGAGAGAGGCTGCATGGATGAGAGCTGGTTTGTCACCCCTCCCCCCTGTTTCACTGCAGAAGGAGCCACAGCAGAGGCCAGCCCGATGGAGGACCTGCTCATCGAGCACCCCAGCATGTCCGTGTACGTCTCCCCGAACAACTTGTCCATGGTCTCCAACAGCAACCTGTCTTTGGTGGGAGAGGAAAGCATTGTCAGCCGGGCAAGCAGCGTGAGGTGAGGAGTAAAACTTCTCATTCAAATTTCATTTCACCTTCACCTCTTTTATCTGCAACAGCATGACTGTCACAACAATCACACCTTGTCTCTCTCTCCCTGCAGCAGAGTGGCTGAACCAATTGCTGCCCCCGCCACCCGCAGCACTATGCCCACCAGGGTGAGCCGCGGAGCAGCCGCCCAGGCTGGAGCTCTGGCAAAGGTCACCCAAGTAGCCAGGGTCCAGCGTGGCAAAGCCCGCATCGAGAGGCGCCATCTGGGCCGCAACCGCATCCAGCGCCAAAACCGCACCAGGGAGCAGGTCCCTCGCCACGCAGCCCACGTCAGAAACACCTTCCTTCACCAGCCCAGCAAGCGTAACTTCTGCCACTAAACTCCCAAGCAACCAGGGGGCATTGTTTACTCTGAGGGCATTAGACACACACCCAAGACACACGTGATTACATATATTCACACACAGCATATTTGCTTTCGTTTCTGCACTTATAATAATTCAGATACCAGTAGACCAGTAGCTCTGTTGTTTGGTTTATGCACAAATTGATTCCACCTGGTAGTTTTATGCCCCATTCTGCTGTTATGAACCAAGCCCTCTGAGCAGATCTGTGTAGATCTTTATTATACTAATTGTCCATTGCAGTATCCAAACAACTAAAAAAAAGTCTTCAAAATATTTACACAGGTTATACTTAGTAATAATAATATCTTTAAAAAAACAACAAAAAATTTAGCTCTGTTAATTTTCTTGCCTATCTTAGTAAAATATTCTCCTTTCTTCCACTTTTCCTCAAGGTATGTTTTCTTTTTTAATTCAACCGTTACATTCCCAAATTAGTTAAATTTGAAGATAATTGAAATAATCAAGTGTACTTTACTCTGTGATGCAGGAACAGACTTTTCTGGTGGAAGCAATGCAAGATAGAGACAAGTTAAGTCTTTGCATCTTTTCAGCGAAAGCAACTCATCATGTCTTTAGTGCTTTAAATTAAAGGGGATCCTATCATAATATATTTTTATGTTTATTCAGAAAAGGTGGAAGGATATACCGTGTGTGACGAGAGTGAGAGGAAGATCACATTGACGTTTGTTTCCTCTGCAGTTTGGTTTGCCAACATGCAAAGTAAAGGCACAAACGCAAGGGAACATGGGGAAACCTGTTTCATCATTGGAAACAAGATGTGAGATTTCTCTCTTCTCCCGTTGTGGTGGCTGAGAGCAAGTAGAAGATGGTGAGAGTATGAGCAAAACAGACTAAAGAGTAAAAGAAATGATATGATGAATTAGAAATAGTATTAAGAAATAGTATTAAAATTAATGTGGTTCATATGAAATGGTCATTGGAAAGTTTTATGTAACCCTCAGAACAGCCTGTGAATGAGTTAAAATTCAACATCAAACTCTTTTAATCAAATTTAGAAGATGAGTCCTCTTCTAAATGAAATCTCTTTTTGTGCAGATGAAAAAAGGGTGTCATGGGCAGCCATTAAATCATTAATGGCAGGGATTATGAAAGGATGCAGGGCTTGTCTTTGGGTTACAGGGTATGGCAGGTTATAGTAAGTAAAGAGCGGTATTGATGGTAACTCTTTATTTTGTTTTGTTTCACTGTTTTCTTCTCATTTCGTCTTACATTTTAATATTATTTTACAGTCACTCTCTCTGCTTGCTTCCAGCAGACAAAGAAATGAAAAGCCTGTTCCTGTCAGACAAAGAGAAAATGCGCATTTGGCTTTTAGAATTGACAAATTCAAAATCACTCCCCGTGGATCAGACACAGCATGGTGTTCATTAAATGTGTGATCTGTAAACTTAAGTCATGTGCCCAGCACACATCAGTCGCCTTCATCCACAGTGTGTGCTGCGATCTTATGTTTTCCATGTGAACACCGAAAAGAACGTACAATCTATTTACACATCAGTCCCTTTCATTGAAAAAAAAAGTCACTGACTTCATAAGATGCAATTGTTTGGGGAAAAAAAAGGGGGATGTAAACATCTTCTTTAAGCCCAACAACAAGCATCTTCCCCCTACATCTTGCTTATGGACGTGCGAAACATTTATTTCTAACACCTACTCCATGACTGTCTGTCACTTTATTGTTAGCACATCCAGCTCTAACAGTGTCCACTTAAAGATCTAGCTTACTGATATGTGTTCAACAACAATAGTAAAAAAAAAAAATGGTGCTGAAGTGTATACTAATGTTTGTAAATTATTTGAGACATGGATGTAAGTTTGCACTGTCATACATTTTGTGAGTCAAAGTTTTAGCGGTGTGCTGTGTGCTTGTTTTCTTTTTGTTTTTCTTTTGTGATTTTTTTTTCTTTTTGTTTTGATTCAAACTGTGTGTGAGAAGATGTACTGACATGACACGTTAAATGCTAGAAACTCTAAAAAAAAAAAAAAACATGGATAATGGTCGTTTATTGCTCTTGTAAATATTACAAAACAATTTCTAACGCTTCATTAGATGTCAAAGCCTCTCAGGATTTGAGTCCACAATGTTGTGTCCAATGGAACTGATGAGAATCCTCTCTCTGCCTCACCTCTGTGCTCATTAACAAACCAAGAGGGCGTCTCAGTGGCCAAAAGTGGTGTTTTTGCCCCAACGTCAGTCTCATCTTGTTGAGGTGCAACATACAAGCAGCACTAGACTCAGAGTTGATGTGCCATAGGCAAACACTGCCCTCCAGAGGGTCCACTTAGCACAGCATTTGCTGTATGAAAGCTGGTGAGGATACAGTACAATGACATGATGTTAGTACATTCTGTACTGGTGTGTTCAAAAGACAATTTGAGAGCCTGGGGATTCATTCAGATTGTTTGGGAAATGGAAATGTCTTTTCTCATTTAGATCATCTAGATAAATAGGATTTATTTAATTATTTTCCCTTGAATCACATACCACAACTTTTTCATTTCTGCCTATATTCTTATAAATGTATCTGTTAATTTATAATATAATTTTGAATATTATCCTTTTTTTGTTTTCAAAGATGACTATTATGTATCCTGTTGATTCCTCTGAACAGTGGAGAGAATGTATCTGAGGTGATGAGTCTAATATGCACACATACATACACACACATAGGGATCTCTCCGATACCCTAGGAGTTTACTGCTCTGATTGTGTCTCAGAGGTTGAATTTTTCTTGCCTGTTGTAAAAGAAAAGGTACGTACAGAGTGAAAACAGAGTAATAATGAGCGATCACAGTTGGATGTGTGTGTACAAATGTAAAGATCACCACAGAAAACTCTGCCGCTGCAAACCTGTCCTGTTTTCCTGAATTTCTATTTCTTCCTTTTCTCACCAGTGTCATGTAAAAAGGAAATGTGTTCTCAGTATGTTTTGTGTGATTTTTGAAAGGTGTGGTTTTAGAATGGAAGTCATCCAATAATGGGGAGAGGAAGCAGTCACCCAATGTGTGGAGCCTATACAAAATGGGAGATGTGGGCAGGGAAAGGATGAGGCAGGAGACAAATAGTTTATATATTTAAAAAATGAAATTAAATGTATCAGAAAAATACAATAGAATATGCTTGTATTTCCCTATATAGGTATTAGAACAGTTGTTCACCAATAGGATGTTTTAAATGAAAGGCGTTGAATGTCTGGGGAGTTTCATATGTTTTATGTTGTGCCCTGAAATGATGGCAGCTTAAAAACACTTGGGGTTTTGCCCTTGTTACATCTCAATAAGTACACCCCTCCCCCCATAAAGATGAAATATATAGACATATAAAATTTGGTGTATCTGATATCTATGGTGATTGTGCCTTTCACTATTTCTGCATGGTTTTTGTGATGTACTGATTTTTCCATCCCCAAAGTGGACAGTCATCCACTGACAGGCAAGACCTATGCAAAAGTCAACGGATGGGTTTTCCAGCATCCATTCAGAAAACACAGGTACCCGCCAAAAAAAAAAAACAACAACAACAACAATAAATACTCAGGTTATCACCTGAATCTTGTGTCATTATTTTCATGTGGGATTAGAGCAAAAAGTGTGTGATCTATTGTCAGTACTAGTGGAACAATTCAGACCCTTTACCTAAGTAAAATACCACAATGTAAAAACACTCCATTACAAGTAAAAGATCAGCATTTAAATTGCACTAAGGAAGTAAAATGTGATTACAGTAACAAGAGTAAAAGAGTTCATTATGCAGCAGAATAGTCCCTTTCAGTGTTACATGATGTTGTAGCTGGTTGAGAAGGAGCTAATTTTAAGTGATTTAAATACATTTGGGTAGTTAAATCTTAAACAATACAACATATTTTATAAACTGGTCTTAACCATAGATGTCAAATAAATGTTGTGGAATAAAAAGTACAATATTTCCTTTCAACATCTAGTGGAAATACTCAAGTAAAGAACAAGTCGGCTGGCTAAAATTGTAAAGTATAGTACATCAGTGAATACTTTGTAACATTCCACTACTGTCTACCTTGGAGATGACGGCATGAATGTAGGTGGAAGTTCACAGTGCGCAACAAAGGGAAGAGGTGAACAGACGGGTGTGGTAATGGACTGTAAACAGTATGTGGACTGAATATGGGTGGGGTGCATAATATGGACTTAGTGTCTTAGGCTCAAGGCCTGACAAAGGGAGAAAATAAAAGTAAGCAAAAAATGAGAAGACGTGCAAAATGATGCATGTACAGACCGGCGATCAATTTTAATTGGGCCAAATATAGCAAATGAAATAACATCTATTGTTGCAGCACCTCTGACCTCACTGTGGACTGAAGCAAGTAAAATTATTTCCTGTTGAGTACTGTAGCTCACACTGTCAATCGAGACTCTTAGATGTTCTGCTACCTGTTCAAAAGCTGGGGAACAAAAAAAGAGTAAGCCTTGTTAAAGGACCAGATTACCAACTGGGCAAATCTGGCAAGTGGCCAGGGGCCACAAAAGCACCAGATACACCATAAAATTTGATTCTATATAATGTGATTAATCGCATTTTTTTTTTTTTTTAAAAAAAAAAAAAATGGGATTAATCCCATTTTTTTTTTTTTTAAAAAAAAAAAAAATGGGATTAATCCCATTTTTTTTTTTTTTAAAAAAAAAAAAAATGGGATTAATCCCATTTTTTTTTTTTTTTGCACCACTAAAGTACAATATCAAGTATGACTGGTACTCCATCCTCCATCTTGTGGTCTTGTCTTGTAGAGGGACTCCAGTTTTAAAACCTTAATTGTTTCAGCTTATTTATCTTATCAAATTGCTTTTTTCTGTTTCAGGTAGAAAATATTGAACAAGTTCATATTATTATTAGCAATTATTGTCTTCAAGAACTGATTGATTGTTCAGTGCTATAAAATGTCAGAAAACAGTAGAGGAATGCCCCACAATTAATGCTTGAAATCAAGTTGATATATTCAATTTGCTTTTTGTTGTCTGACCAAAACCCAAACATGTTGACATTCATAGAAACCTGGAAAAACTGCAGATATTTACATTTGAGGAGCTGGTGCTAGTGATTTTTTTGCTTAAGACTAGAGTATTAGAGTACTGGTTGATGCTTGAAGAAATGACGACCCTGCTATGCTTAAAGTGGGTCAGGAGCAGCCCAAAACCTTCTCTCTCTCTCTTTTTTTGGCCTGAGCCTCCCTTGGAGATTATGGGAAGGTGAGAAGGGTTGTAATTGGAACAGGTATTCTGCAGACCTGCTGTAACCTGTTTATCCGGTTCACGAGTTTAAAAAATACTTAAAGCGGAAACTTTAAGGGCCTTTGCCTCCTAGGTGGGGGTTTCCCATTCCCCACTAATAACAGTCAATGGGAAATGGCTAAAAGCACCTGTGCTGAAAGGGGATTTGGTTATCAACTGTGTGTGGAGATGAGATTTAGTGGCCCTCAACGCCATCTACCGTGAAGTAAGTCTGGTATTGGTACTACTAAGCTATTCAATACAGACAATGCAGCCAACAGCCGTATTTCCTTTGTGAATACGTGTGGATTTATGTCAATTCTGTGTTTAACAAATAATTCCAAGTTATCCTTGGTACTCAGCTCACAGTCAAAAGGGCATCCAAAAACATGCACCTGGAATCCAGCTAGCTATTTTGTATGTCAAGTCCTACCGGTTCTGCGGAGCTATAATGTGAAGCTAACTTCCCTGTCCGACGGCGTCGAGATTCAGGAGCTCGTGTAGTCTTGGTGACGGGAGAGCTCCACTCACCTCATCTCACCTGCCCTGTTTTAAAACCCACAATAACACCGTCGAGGATGGTTTTTATTTGACTTCACCTATTTTTACAACAACGGTAAGTAACATTAAGCTAGCTTCGAGTTCTTTGTAGCCGCATATTCGCACAGAATTAACAAAAAAAGATGCGTTAGCTTGTGACAGCGCGGTGGAGAAACAGGATACGCAGATAAATAGCGCCTCTGGCTCGCCTCTGTGTTTGAGTTGTGTAAAACGCTGTTGTTTCAAAATGTAACCAGTCACCAGGAAAGTTAATTGCTTTTGTTCGGCACAGACAGAAAGAGGCAGACATATTGTCGCATGTCAATATTTGCAGTAGGCTATGTTTGCCTTGTGTAATGACACTGCATGTTAAATGGAGACGGATATAACCTTAGCGGTTACATAAATGCTTCTCGGGGGGAAAACTAGTTAACTTGCATGCTTTGCTAACCTCTGCAGGTGGCAGCTTTACATGACTGGAAAAAATGCATCATCATCGGAGCTACACACCCGTGTCTTGGCCTATCAAAAATATCCTCTAAGAAGAAGCAACTGCAGTGATCTTGTAGTGAGGGTGCCAGTATCATACAAGAAAACTACAATTCCCTGTAGCAGAATTGTGATATAGTGGGATGTTAGAAGGCAAATCAAGCAGATGAAGTAATTCTTCAGCACAGCATCACTAGTGGCTCATACAGGTATATTTTAGGGATTTTTCATCTGGATGACAGTGACAGGTGTGTGTCTGATCATCCCAGACAAGAAACAGATGTGACTGGAAGTATGAACATCATACCCTAACTCCCTCACACCTTCAAGATAAAGATAGGTTAACTGTGTGACTGCAAGACCAATAGTAGTCATGCACAGTCCTGCTCCTGAAATCATGGCAGGGTACCCAAGTGGGTGTGTGGCGGATAAAGATGCAAATCCGGAGACAACCTTGGGGAGTGCCTATTCTCCCGTGGACTACATGAGCATCACCAGCTTCCCCAGGCTGCCAGAGGACGATGCAATGTCTGGGGAAAACACCCTCAAATCTCGCAAAGATGATGACAACGTCCTCAGTGAACAAGATACAGGTCAGTTAGATCCTGTTCTACAAAATACAAACACTATATTGAATGTCTTTAGGTTTCTGGGTGTGGATTCATCAAGCAACACTGTACACACTGCAATTAATTGTTATTAAAATTATCAAGCTATGTTTTCGATTAATTGTTTATTCTATAAAATGTGCATCGCAATTCTCTATAGCCTCAGTGATTTCCTCAATTGTCTTGTTTAACTAATCATCTAAAACCCAAGATATTCAAGTTACTATTACAATTCCTCACATCTGAGAAGTGGGAACAAGAAAGTATTTGAATTTTTTATTCTTACAAAAATGCTTGATCAAAATTATTCAGTTATTGGAATAGCTACCCTTGATAGCGTGGCTACTTTAAGTTTTAAATAGAGTTTGGTGTGAGGGAACAGAATATATTCAACATCACATACCAAAAATCGTGGTTGTCCTGGTCTTTCCTGTTTAGTCCAATCCGTTTGGTTTGTGTTGCACGTTGCAGACCCAGATCTGTTTCTGAAGTCAGCTCGCCTCCAGCGACTCCCTTCCTCAGCCTCTGACCTGGCCAGCCATGATGTAGTATCCCTGCAGGAGACCAATAGAGACCCCTTTACAGAAGAATGTGCTTGCCAGCGAGATGGACTGACAGTCATCATCACAGCCTGTCTCACCTTTGCCACAGGAGTCACTGTAGCTCTCATCATGCAGATCTACTTTGGAGACCCACAGGTAGGTGTGTCTGTGTTTCTGTGTGTCTGTGCGTTAGCTGCAGATGTACTTTTGTAACCATGTTGCAATGGTGTTGCTTTTCTCAACTGATTATGGGATTATGGGTGATTTCACATGTGTCCTCCCACACAAGCCCAAGTCAGTGCAAAGACAGTCTCTCACTTCTGTCTTTGTTCTTCTGTTCTTTGCAAGGTCTTTAACCAGGGAGCAGTGGTGACAGATGTGGCACAGTGTACATCTCTTGCCTTCGATGTTCTGGGGAGGCTGGGGTCCAGTGTTGATGCTGCCATTACTGCTGCCCTCTGTCTGGGAATTGTCCACCCTCACACCTCTGGTCTGGGAGGGTGGGT